AAAATGCCATTTTAACCATTCAAAGGGTATAATTCAGTGATATGTAAATTATGCTCACTGTGTTGTTGGTTTTTGTTTGTTTTTTTAAAAAAAAAAAACACCTCACCAGTTCACATGAGTTGGTCTTTGCTTCCTTGTGAATCTGATTCTGTGTTCTGTACACCGCACTGCTACACCTCAGTTTAATGGACCTTCATGCTGCCTGTATGACTTTTGATTGTCTGGGGAACCCCCTCTCTCTGTGGGGCCAAAGGGGGGAAAGCTTCCAGCCCCCCGCCTCACCATCTGAACTCAGAGTCAGAAGGTCCAGCAGGTTGGTCAAAGACTGAGATATCAGAAGGATTTCCCCACCCAGTATCCGGTTCCCCCCCAAATTCTCGGCTGTGTTGATTCTGTTCCTCCTGTCTCTCCCTTTAATTTATTTTGAGATTGTTCACCACCAAGTCCTTAATTCATGGTAAATGATAATACACCTGAGATAAAAATGATTATACGTTCAGGACTAGCACTTATTGATAATTAAGTGTTTCATTGCTTCTTGGCTTTCCCTGAATGGAATAAATAAATATTTTAGACATAATCAAGTTTGTTTTCCCAATTCAGACCAAACAGACAAGGCTGTTGGAGCGATATAGATCTTTAAAATACTGCAAATGAGTCCTGACATCACCGAATTGTTATGCACCCAGGGTATGTGGGCTTGAAATCTAGGCTCTCTCCTTTAATCAGGAAAATCATTTTTGTGATTCTCGCATCTCAAGTCCTGTGGGGCTAGGGATGGGACCGGCACAGAAAGTATCAGAGTCGGAATGTGAAGCGATGTACTGAGCAACCCCCTCCTTTCCCAGTGCCACTGTCTGCATTTTAATTCCTCTCTCCAAGCTCGGGCGACAGGCTTCCTTTTTTTCGAGTGTGGGGTGGGAAACTGAGGCAGTGGAGAGTTTAGAACTGGAGCCTGGACAGTGATGTGCACCTTGGAGTACCAGGGGTTGGGCTATCGCAGGGGTTGGGCTGTCGCAGGGGCGTGGCTTCCGTGCAGTGGGCTGGCCCCTCAGCCCTCACGTGACTTGACTTACCCAGGGCTGCGTACCAGGACCACATGCGTGTGCTTGGCAGCAAGGTGGCTTTAAAATAGGCCGGCTCCCACTCGGGGCAGTGCCACTCTCCATCACAAGAATGAACGTTGTTCACACGTCAGTCCTTTGCCTCCTCTGCAAACCCACAGGCTTGGCCATGAAAGCAACCTGGGTGCATGGCATGTGCCCAAGTCCAAGTGGCCAACTTCTGTGACCTCAGCCTAACAGCAATGAGGTCCCCCTCCAAACTAGTCATTCTGACTTGTGTAGAGACTTGCATATTGCCTATGTTTGAGTCCATGACAGAGGGGAAACTTTCAGAAATCATGAGGCCGAGAGGCCCCCAGGCAGGGAGGGTGCTACCGTGCCCTTTAGAGGGTGAACGGTGTAAGGAAAGGGGAGTGTGTGTCCAGCACTTTCTCTCAGCAGCACGGAGCATAGAAGCACTATCAGTAGAGCTTGGAAAGGGCCGGTGAAAGACTACATCTGTCCGGAGGGGAGCAAGCTATACTCCCCAGGAGAAGGAAAGATGTCCATGTCCAGGGAGAGCAGAAATGGCCAGGCTCTGTCTACCCACAGTCTCTCAGCACCTGCTGAGCTATCCAGCTACAGGGAACTCATGGTATGTCAGAACAGAACTGTGCTTCTTGAGGTTTTCAATAGCTGGGGTCGGTGGGGAGATTGTGAGGGATTTTGCAAGTAGATTGCCAGGACTTTCTTCCAAGGCACCAGTAGATGTACTTGAACTTCCAGATTTTGAGTTAGTAGCCAAGCAGTTTAACTGCACCACCCAGGGGCTTTCTATTCTGTGTGGGCTCTTTTCCATCTTGGGAACCCATGGTGCATGAATCCATAGGCCTGCTGGGTACTCTGGTCTGGAGCCAGCCCTAGGAATGTCTTGTGCCCTCTACCTGACCCCCCTGGGTCCCTTTGAAGGACTTACTCTCCCTCTTTTTTTTTTTTTTTTAAATTTTACTATTTTTGTGTGAGTGTACCGTCAAATCAGATCTGACTGGTACAGGAGGAGAGTGTTCCTCCTTCCCCCGGCAGAGCATCTGGTGGATTCGAACCATGCGCCTCTGGGATTGTAGTTGCAGCTCCTTTCCACTAGGCCACCAGAGCTCCCCCTTACTCTCCCTCTTAATCCCCACTTGTGGGGCCAATTAGGAGCCACATCCCCATCTGGCAGGTGGACCAGAAGAAGAGGATTAACCCTCTTCATGTGTTTTGGGGGGTCCCTGCCTAGGGAGAGGTTTAACCTGGTGACTTCTAAACCCCATCCCAACCTGAGCATCTAGAGTGTCTGGGAAACTAAACCTGTTTGGAGGTGGAGATGGGAGCAAACACACCAAAGCCTAAAGACAAATAACCTGGGGGCTGCCCTCTGCGTGTGGCCTTTGTCCAGCTCTGCACATGACAAATGGGAGCAGGAGCCGTGGAAGAGCCCAGTCAGAGGGAACCAGTGTCCTTGCTGGAAATGACCCTGAGGACAGCCCAGTAGCTTTGTCTGCAGGGACCTGATGTCTCTCGGTGTATTAACCTGGTGCATAAACCTGATGAAATGTTTGTTTTGGGCCTCGTTTTGGAAAAAAGAAAAAAAAAATTGCATTGAGGCCAATGCCTGCTTCAGGCCATGGATGTGGCTTTTCACCAGATGATGCTGGGAGAGGCTTGCCAGGCTGAAATTCAACACTGCACCGTGGACGTGTGTCTATAGCAGCTGGGCTGGGTTGCCATGTGTTAGGATAGGAAAGCCCAGCCCTGTATTTGAGGTGTGGTAAGCATCTGGTGAACAGGGTTCCCATGTGTCTAATACTCTTAAACCACAACCGGTGCCCACTCATAGTGACCCCAGGTACAACAGAGGAAACCCGTGCACCTGGTGCATTCTTAGTGAGTTTTTTAAAAGGAGATTGCCAGGCCCTTCTTCCAGGTCAACTCACATATTGCCATCCTTTTTGTTAGCACCTGAACACAGTAGCCATTTGTCTTACCCAAGGACTCTGCTTTAGTGGAAATGATGTGCAGGCATTCTCTTGGGGTGAATGCATTTTTTAGGGGAATCTTCTAGACCTTGTAGGTGTTTAGTATCTCAGCTCCCTGTTCTCTGAGGTTGCATAGAAATGATGATGTTAGAATTGGAGGGCTGAAGGCCAGAAGGGACTTGAGAGAATCTTCTCTCTGCCTCAGTTGTTGCTGGAAACCAAACTAGACGTGGAATCTTGAAAAGGAAGTGTCTCAGTTTTATCCAGGGACAGGAAATGCCACCATATTTTTACACAAAGAATGTGTACAATACAGTGTATACGAGCCACATGCAACCCCTGCACTGTATTAGTTTCCAGTGTATATTGTGCACAGTTTTAGCTGTTGTTAGTTGTTGTTGAGTCTACTATGACTCATAAACCTGTAAACTGCAGATCTGAACCATGACCTATCCTATGACATCCTCAAGCCCGTTGTTATGGTACCTATACCAGTCTGTTTCGTTGAAAGCCTTCCTCTCTTTAGTTATTCCTCTGCATTTTCCAGCACGATGTCTTTTACCAAAGGCTGATCCCTCCTGACACCATGCCTGAAGTATGTGAGATGTTTCGCCATCCTTTCCTCAAAGGAGCACCCTGGTTTCACTCCCTCCAAGACAGACTCGTTTGTTCTTTTTGCAGTCCGTGGGCTATTCCGTACTCTTCACCAATACCACAGTTCAAGGGCATCCACTTTTTCTTTGATCTCTGTCCGGCTTTCAGATGCATAGCAAACAATTGAAAAATACCATTACATGAGTATATTATGTATTTAAGGGGAAAAAAAGTCATTATCACAGCACAAAGACAACTGGGCCATTTCACTAGTTTGGTATGTCAAGCTCATCCAAGCTCCTACCTGGCAGAAAAGAACCTCAGGACTCGTAAGAACATAGTGACCTGAGGGTCCATAGTATCCAGGCTGGGGCTCAGAGGAAGGAATGTCTGGGACCCCACATAAGTCAGAGGCAGTGGCAGAACTCGAACCTCGGCCTCTCTCCTCCCACATCAGTGTATCTGCAACCTCTGAAGACACATTGTATTTCTCGTGTTGTTCACGATGAAATTTCATGGTTGCTGTCTGTAGGGGAGGGGGGCTGCATTTGGATCCATGTGGTGATAAGCAGGGCTTACTGAGTGGTGTCACAGATGGGGCAGCCTGCAGGAAACCCTGTCGGGGGTGGGAGGAGAAGAAAGGAAGGGGCAGGAGGGTAGGGAGAGGAACTCGGGATGCCGAGCGGTTGCCTGCCAAAATTCTTCAGTATGCCTTGTCTAGCAAAGCCGGTCTCCAGCCGAGTAAATACTGTGGATAGCTGACGGGCTGACAGCAGGCATCAAACAGTCTTAAACTGCCCCAAATCCGCAGCGCTTTTGAAGCAGCAGTAGAAAAAGGATGCCTGTGCAGAACAGAGGCCTGGAACTTTGAATAGTTTCTTCCAGGCCTCAGGATGTCCTGATGAGGTATTAGAGGAAGTAATTCAGGAAGAAAAGGACAAATAACCGCCTCCATCTGGAGGCTGACCCCGGGGCTGGCCGGGCCACATGCACAAGGGCCAGCATGGCCCTGCTGTCACCCCGAAGCTCCCCAAAGTCTACCTGCCCACCTCCACTCGGGGCATCGCAGGGCCCTGACCCCTGGAAATAACAGACATGTAATTTCTTGTTTGCTTCAGGGCACATGTCAAACCACACAGTGTCCACCGTGTGTGGGTGAGATCTTAACTTCCCTCTCTGTTGGAAAGGTGCTCGGTAAATTGGAAATCATTGCCTGGACTGTCATCCCCTTCCGAGGGGTCTTCCCCGTGTCCCCCTAAAATCAGAAGCCTGTAGGGCATCAGGGCCTGAAAGAGAAACGTCTGAATTCACCCATCCTCTCTCTGTTTTGCTTCTTCCCCTTTAGGGTTTGGCTTTGTCACTTTTGAGAATGAAGATGTTGTGGAGAAAGTCTGTGAGATTCATTTCCATGAAATCAATAATAAAATGGTAAGTTGGTGGTGTTTGCGCTGAAAGGCAGTTCTCTCCCTCCCCCCACACACGCACACCTTTATCTTATAGAATGTTGCTACCACTGTAATGCTTGAAGGTGGTCAGGGATGGACATCGGGACTAAGGGTTCAGCCCCCTAAAGGGTAGCATTTAACGACAGTGGTTGGAAAACCTGATCTCTAAAATGAAATCTTGTCAGCATTGTGGGCCATACAACAGCTGGCAACCTCACAATTCCATATGGACAGAAATAAGCAGGCTATGTTTTAGTAAAACTTTATTTATGGTTCTTAGAATTTGAACCCCCTATCACTTGTCACAAAAGTATTTTCTTGTGGTTTCTTTCAAGCATTTAAGAATATTTAAAAATCCATTCCGAACCCATAGTTATACTGAAACAGGCCGCTGAACAAAGGTGGTGTGGGTCCAGTTCATAATTTGCTGACCCCAGGTTGTTTGCTTGGCTGTTAAGGGGTACGTCCTAGATACGTATTTGGGGCACCATGTTATTTCTCTCTGGGCACCCTGCTGGATAATTAACACAAACCCTCTTGCAGTTCAGCTCGACGATTTCTGCTTTCATTATCAGTTGCTTCCTTCTGTTCCCTTAGCCCTTTTAAGTTCCATTTCCTGCCCCACCAACCTCTAGAAAAATAGAGGATGGATTGTGGAAAGTTTAGGAGACCTCCCGGAGAACTGACCACCAGAGGGCGCCGTGTCATGGGCAGAGCCTGCATGTACCCATGTAACACCTCAAACTCCTGTCTTTTAATTGAGTCACATTCACACACCCTCATTGCCATGGAGTCAGAACCAACTCGAATGACCCTCCATTATTGGGTCTTGGAGGCTATAAATCACTCAGGAGGAGATGGTCCATCTTTCTTCCTGAGAGCAACTTGTGGATTTAAACTCCCAAAGAGATGCACGTAGCCTTTGAGTTAACAATTTGACTCCTTAAGGACTTCACCACCCGAGTTCTGCCTAAGAGAGAGCTTGGTAGTAAGGAGTTGGCTTGTCGACCCACAGACAGGTGGTTCAGATCCACCAGCAGCTCTGCAGGACAAAGATGGGCAGTCGCCTCGGTGCAGTTGACAGCCTCTAAAAACCCCCTGGAGCGAGGAGCCGGTTCCAGCGCAATGGCACAGAACAACAACAGCTACTCCTAACCAAATAGGGGGTAGCAAATATTTTTATTGGTTTCCAAATTTGGGAGCTGTCCAGTTGTTTCTGAAACCATCAGCAGGTCCTTTGGAGCCAAAACGTTTTGGTTGGCCGGAAGAGCCCCAGGAGAAGAGAGGGGGGAGGTTTGTACTTCACTCACAGTCTGAACTGGGATATTTCTCTCCCTTTTGTCGAAACATCCCTAGCTGCTGAAACATGCATTCAGATATGCGTTGTATACCGGGCTGACGTTGCATTCACCAACTTTACATTCAATAATAGAGCTTTTAGTGGGGATAAGATCAAAGCAATCTGCTTAGCGTGTGGTGCTATGGGCCTGATTCAATATTTGACTTGCTAATTTTTTCCCGGGGCACTAAAATAATATTGTTCATATTGTTCCTCACCATCGTATGCATCTGAAATGAAAATACCGCTTCTTTGCATATTCTGCATTCGAGATGTACAATCAGGCATTAAAGTGGCCCCAGGGAGAGACATGTGACCCACAGATCCACTCCTAGCTTCTCCTGCCCCACATTTAGGTGTCTTCGCATAGGGACTTGTCTTCTGGGTTAGTAACTACCTGTTGTTTAAAACTAGCGTGTCAGGGAACTTGAAAAGCAGTCTACCTCCAGTGTCCTGAAGGCTTGTTTCTGTGAGCCCTGTATTGACAGACTCCTGGGAGAGCTGGGCAGCTGGGATGGAACGGGCAGCATAGACACTGGCAGACACCACTCCTGTCCTTCCAGGACTGAACGGTTCATTAGGGAAGGCCCGGTGCCGACTGGCATGAGACCATGCTGTGTGCCACCACCAGTGCATCCCTGTGGCCTTTCACTAACTTTTTTCCCCCTTCTCTTAACTCAGTGCCTTTTAAATCTCAAAGTGACATTCACATAGCATACATTTTAAACTGGACAATTCTCTTTAAATAATACACAACTACCTCTTCTGTAGCTTCATAATATTTTCATCACTCTAAAGTAAAAACCCTCACCTGTTAAGTCATTACTCCCCAGTCTCCTCTCCCTTTAACCCCCAGACCCCAACAGTCATTCTGTCACATTTTCAAGGCTTTAAAATTTTGGGGCATAAACTATCTTGCTCTCAAGAAGCTGCTGCTGGTGAATTGGAATCACTGACCTTTTTGGTTAGTAGCCTGACACGTTTCACTCTAAGCCACACAGTCGGAAGTAAATGCTACTTTATGTTCTCTTCTGTCATTTTGCCTATTCTGAACACGGTAAGTATATGGATTCATCCAGAATGTGATTCATGCAGAATATGACATTTGTGTCGCATTTCTTTTACTTGGCATACTGTTTTTTGAGGTTCATTCATACTATAGCATAAATCAATGCTGCAGTACTATACCTGAGTAGTATTCCATTTGTCTGAATACTATTCCATTTGTCCATCTCTACCACAGATTGTTTCTTTTGTTGATAGACGGTTGAGTTGCTTTCAGCTCTCACTAATTGTGACTACACTGCGGTGAGCATTTGTGTGAATGTTTTTACTTGAAAACCCTGCTTTTTGTTCTTTGGGGATATTAAAATCCATAAAACCATGCCCACTGCCAAAAAGTTGATCCCAACTCATATCTTCTGTTAGGTTTCTGAGCCTGTAACTCCTATGGGAAGATTTCTCCCAGGGACCAGCTGGTGGATTCAAACCTTTTGGTTAGGAGCCTAACATGTGATGGCACTATTCCACCAGAGTTATATGCCTGAGATATTATATACTGGTGGAATCCTGGCAGTAGGAATACTAACATGCTCTGCAGCAGAAAGGTTGAAAACTCTAGTCTACTCAGAGGTACCTTGGAAGAAAGGCCTGGTGCTCTCCTTCTAAAATCAGCAACTGAAGACACTACAGAGCCCAGTCCCACTCTGATGCATGTGGGGTCGCCATAAGCTGAAATAGCTGGTGGCAATATGCCAAGGGTTGGCGCCATCACTGCTGAGCCCTTACAGACTTTGAAATGAGCCAGGGAGATTGGTGGAGAAGGACTTTAGTCTCTTCACAAACCCAGTGGGGAAACTGAGCCCAGGGATGTGCCCCGGAACTACCTGATAGTGCAAGGGGTGGGTCTTGAACTTACTGGCTGCCAAGTAAAATATAAAAACAGACATGAGTTTTGAGCTAGGAGAGTAGAAAAAAGGTGCCCCCAGGTGAGTCAGGGAATTTTAGCCCCAGAAGGATGACAGGTGAGCTGGCTTGAAGCCATGTCCTGACCTCTTCACTCTCACCCCCTTCTCTGATCCCACAGTGGTAGCTGGCTGAGTGGGTGCGAGTAACTGGTGGGAACTGGCATGTACTGTGAGGACTTCGGTTTCTCTTGCGTCTAGAGCTTGCTCTTTAAGAGAATATGTGAAAATGGAAGGGGATAAGAAGACAAGGGGGCAGCATCCCAGCCGGCTGGTATCTGAGCTTTGGAGAGGTCAGGCCAGGTTTGCCACCTAGCCCCACCAAATGGAACCTAAGGGGTCATTTAGAGTTACTCTGAGCAGGGTCTCTGAGTTCGGGTAAAATGGGGTGACGGGGCCACCTCTTGAGTTTTGGGGGACCAGATGTAATAGAAAGCTTGCTGGCACTTGTCATCGTCGATTTTACACATCCCCTCCTGTGTAGAGATGAGGGGAATTTAAAGGGTGTCAGTAGAGGAACCTGAATTGTAAATCGCTTTGTATTCTGCTATGCTGGTTTCTACTTCTGAGGCCCCCAGAAAAGGAAATGAATTTAAACTGAGCGATGGACAGAATTCCGATTGGAGAGCCGGAAACTGTCTGAGAACTGCAGGACTGCCAAGCAGGAACGCGACACCCGCGAGGATGTATGAGGATGTGTTTTGTAAACTAGGCTCTGCTGTGAAGCTGTAAAGATGGACCTCGTTTAACCCTCACCGTCTCTGTGCAGCAGGGACGGGCAGGTCTCAGCACCCATCTGAACACACCTGGGCCCCCAGTTCCCTCCTGACAATACCGGCTCTGGAATTGACCTTGAATCCAGAACTTTGCTCCTCAATCCAGCCTCTATGTGTTTGGCACTTGGTGGTGGCTGTTAGGCGCCTGTGAGTCTCTCTCCGCTCATCGTGACCCCTCGTGCAGCAGAACGCCGCCTGGCTCTGCACCGTCCTCAGTCATTGCTGTACTTGAACTCGTTGTTGTAGCCACATGTTGCACCATCTTGTGGTGCCTCCTTATTCATGAACCAAATGAAGGTGAGGGACAGTGCGATAGTGAGGTCCCAACAGCATTCCCAAGGCTGACACCTCATCAGATTTGATTGGTGACTTCTCCAGGGCATTTGTAAACTATGAGGACCCTTCTCTGCCACCCAGGAGGGCTGCTGTCAGAGGCCTGAGATCCCAAGAACTGCCCAACCCATCCTGTGCAGCCCCTGCCATGAGATCATCCCCAATGAGCCCCTGGCAGGGGTTGGTCAGCAAAGCCTCACCCCCCTGTAGACACACAGATCCTACTAGCAGCTAACATTGTTGAGTGCTAACAACATCTGCACTTTCTCATTTCATTTGGTCATTGCCCCTACTCTGATACAGATGCTCATCATAATCCCATTTTACAGATAAGCATAAATGAGGCAGAGGGAGGTTATACAAGGTCCCATGGTCAACAAATGACAATGCTAGAATTCAAGCCCAGAATGCTATGCTCCAGAGCTCGATGTTTAACATCCACTAAGCTATTGATCCCCTCCAAGGAGTCCTGGTGGCATGGCAGTAAGTGCTTAGCCACTAATCAAAAGGTTGGTAGTTTGAAGCCATCCAAAGGCTCCAGAGGGAAAGCTCTGGCAGTTTGCTTCCATAA